TGGGCGATTTCGAACTGAATATGATAAATAATCAGTATGGAAAAGAAGCTATGACAAGCAAAATATACAGAATTTTCAAAATGCATTACGACTAGAAACCTGGGAGTTTGTTAACTCGTATTTAGATACAAATCCAGTTTACATAAAATCTAATAATAATTTACCAAATGCTTTCTTCTAAATAAAAAAAGAATATAAAAGAATAATAAAAGAAAGAACAACGAATGAGTAAAGGACGACATAAAAACGTCTAGTCAAAAATTACAAGTGCTGATCTAAAACCACTCTGTTAAAAATCAAAATAACATCACGATAAACTCGTACGGAAAACAAACAAAAAAGTTCTACCACAATAAAATATTTAATTCCGATAATATTATAAAAAGTACTTGGAAACTTGTTTCCGACTCATCTCAAAAAAGAAAGAAAATAAACATATATCTAAAAAATAGTAACAAGGAGGTCAGTGACCCAGTCGTGATAGGAAACGTGTTCAATAAATATTTTCAGAACATACCTAAGCAAATTTAACAAAAAATAGATAAAATACCGAATGGAAGAAATAATTTGGATAAAACTGAAACCTACGCTAGAACCCTTCTAGGGTGGACAAGTACCCCGGCTTTCTTATACAGAAATTCCTAGAGCCACTTTCATATATAGTCAATTTTTCCTGCTGAGAAGGGCTATTGCCGTCTATTCTCAAGAATGGTAAGATTATTAATATATTTAAATATAAAAACCAAAAATGTGTCGAAAATTACAGACCTATAAGTGCGTCTCCGAAATATTAGAATGCGCATTCAACAATCTACTCTCTTATTTTTTAACGGAAAATAAAATAATATCAACAACTAAACTGGGTTTTCAAAGCGGTAAAAATACAATGACAGCAGTATACTCTCTCCATGAAAAACTGATAGAAATGATCGACGGAGGAGGGTGCCCTGCTGGGATCTATGGCGATCTTAGCTAGTATGGAGTGGTTAAAAGACCCTCAACAAAACAGAGAATAATATGTAAATATTTTCAATTGAGGTGAGTCGGTTTATTTCCAGATTCTCGGATTTTAATATATCTGAAATGATAGTGATCGTTTCAGGAATAGAAACTTTAGTAAAGAGGCATTCTACGTCGAAACTAACCAGAATATCTTGTGTATCTAATGTAATGCTTTTTATTTGTTCAATGAAGTGAAAGGAATTAAGTACGAAACTGTCAGTTTTACCTGTAAAGGGTTTTAATAAGGAAGCTAGATATTTTGCTAGAGAATATGTTGGAGAACCAATGGGTCTGACAAGGGGTAATCCTGGTTTGTGAATCTTTGTGAGTCCGTAGAGACGAGGAATTTTAGAGTCATGATGACAGATTTTTTCACAGAGTCTGATAGAGAGAAGCCTTAATGCTAGATTTAAGGTTGCGTTCCATAGGTGACGTAGGATCGTTTTTAAATTGACGATATGATCCGTCTGTAAGAATATCTTGAATCTATTGCTGATATTCATTTGCGTTCCTGACCACCGTAGCATTTCCTTTATCTGCTTTTGGAAAGAAGATGTCGGGATTAGATTTTAGAGATTTTAGGGCAATACGTTCAGGTTTTGCAATATTAGATTTAGGGGGTTTTGATTTTTTAAGGATTTTTGCAGTTTGAAATCGAATTTCATTAGCTGTTCGTGATAGTAGTTTGTTAAGGATAGACTCGACAGTTGAAATGATTTCCTCTTTTGGGAATCAGTCATCCGAGACGGTTCGTATGTCCTTCATTTAGCTCCGCTCCCCTCAAACAATATAAAAGCAGGTACAGAATACAATACGAGAGAGTTTCAGTCAAGCTCTGAAGAAGTCAACAGGATAATTGGCGAAACGTTAGCAAGTTCGACTCAACAAAAACCGACGCAGGAGGAATCCAGAAGTTTTATAAAAAGTATGATAGATGTTAATTTATCAAGAACTGGATAAAAATTGTAAATGCAAAGGAAATACTTTAGGGTAAACAATTATACAATATCTCATTTTATTTTTCGCATTATTATAATAATAGCTCAATCGAATTACTCAAAAAATAAGATGTCAATTCATGCGCCATTACTTATCAGAGACTCTATATAATACACTGTTATTATTTATCTTCGCATATACGGCAAAAAGGGGCTCAGGAGGCTTTGAGGTGTGATGGGGGAACATGCCGTTACCGCAATATTCCTCTTCGCAGAACCAAAAGTCAAATTATTCGGCAACAGGCAATTTATATTTCCGACTCTGTCCCGGCGAATGACGGTGGAGCGGCTCGAACGAGGAGATGAAATTAACGCCAAAGCGAAATAAAGGAAAATTATTTTCTCGCCACGTTTTTGTCGCCGCAAACATTCGCCCACGTTACCCCTTTCACCCCCGCGTCGCCTAACCCGCGACCTTCGACGGCATCGAAATTACGTCAGTGGACATAGACGTCCAACTAAAACAATGAAAACTCAACCTTGAAAACACTCAACATTGAATTATTTCAAGCAACAGATAATCGCAATAGTATGTTTCACATAACCGTAGATTTGCATTTACCCTAGGGATGGGAGGGGCAAAGAGGCCCACCTCAAAAATTAACATTTTTTTTTTGTTATTAATCAAAACGACCAACTATGCGAATCTCCTGAAGATTTAAAATATTACAATTTTGTTGATACAGGGTGTCCCGAAAGTGTCCCCTCCCGACATCAACTTTTATATTTTAAATGGAACAACCTGTATATATCAATATTTCTGTAATCCTTGGTTAAAATAAAGGTCACGGTCTTAAGAAATTCCTATTCGAATTTTGCATAATTTAGGCAGAAATTGAAGTTATGTGTTTTTTTTTTCATATTTTTATTGCCCCATATAAAATTGTGTTGTGACGCTACTGATCCAAATATTGCAACGAAAATTTAACCACAGACTAAGGAGATGATGCACTACTCAATCACATAAAGACAGATGCGCCTCAGCTTATATAGGGTGTCCCAAGTAGGTGGTGCCGTTTTGGCGAATTCAATTAACAAAGTCTCAAGATTTTCATATGAACACTCTATTCTTTTATTCAGATATCAATTCTAGGATAAAAAATAAGGTAAGTTCATAATTCATCTTATATTTAAATTTTTCTTACTTTTTGAGATATTCGAGGTTAAAGGTAACACCCGTATATATTCTTGTTTAATTTAAAGCTGCCCCCTGGTATTTTTTAAATAGCAAAGACATGATCCTACTTCTTTTAAAGACATAATACTGCAGACATATGAATAAAACCTATTGCTAACAATACAGATTTAATAAAACTTCAGAATTCACATTTAAAGAAACATAAGAAATTAAAGTTTATAGGCTAACTAACCAAGGTACCAAATTTGAATAAGTAAATCTATAAAAAAAAAGTTAAATAAAAAATGTTCGCTAATTCGGTCCATAAAGTTTAGTTAAATGTTCCTCTTAAAATGCTCGTTTCATCTGGCATCAAAACGATAAAAAAATATCAAAATATTTAAAAATGTAATTGGCTATGACATTTCAATCTTTTTTTTTTGACGCGTTAAGGTATAAATAAACTTTGACATTTCTGTTTGTTTTTGTCGTTTTTCATATTTCTCTTTAGTAAGTTCATAGTTGTCAAGTTTTTGTTAGTATATATATATGTATAAACTTGATTTATTTATTTTTGTTATTCTGTTTATAATTCTGAAGTTTTATAAAACCTGTTAAAGTGTGTAGTATAGAGTCGATTTTTTTCATAATTTCCACGTATTAATATATATTTTTAGCAATAGGTTTTATTCGTATATCTGCAGTATTATACCTTCAAAAGAAGTACCATCGTGTCTTTGCTATTTAAAAAATACCTAATATTGCCAGCAAGTGAGTAGCTTTAAATTCAACAAGAATTTATAAACTTAAACTTAGAATATCTCAAAGAGTAAATAAAATTTAAATGTAAAATAAATTACAAACTTACCTTGTATTTTGTCCAAGAATTGATATCTAAATAAAAATATACGGTGTTCCATTTGAAAATCATGAGATTTTGTTAATTAAATTCGCCAAAACGGCACTACCTATTTGGGACACCCTGTATAATCTGAGGCTCATCTGTCACACTGATTGAGTAGTAAATCATGTCCTTAGTCTGTGGTTAAATTTTCGTTGCAATACCTGAATCAGTACCGTCACAACACAAAATATGAAAAAAACACACAACCTCAACCTTTATTTTAAGCAAGGATTTCAAAAGTGCCGTTATATACAGGGTGTTCCATTTAAAATAACAACCCTTTTGGGACACCCTGTATCAACAACATTATAATATTTTAAATCTTTAGAAGAGTCCAAGACACTTTTGTACGAAACGTTTTTTCGTATCTCCTATGGGTTTGCAGATCGTATAATGGGTCGTTTTATTTGGCACACGGTGTACAGTTTTATCCCTTTGCGTAATATGCGTAATACCAGGGGTAAAATGGACCTCTTAAAAATTCTAAAAAGCAACTTATTATTATAACCGAATAATAATTAATTTCGTGAAAGTGTTATTTTTTGGATAATTCTGTGGATTTAGCCTAAATCCAGAGCTTTGAAAATTCTTATAATTTTTATCGATAGAAAAATAATTACCAATCAGCAGCGTTTTTTTTATTAAATAGTTTTTAATAAATAATTATAATTATTATATATACCATTATAAATAGGGGAGAATTTAATTAAAGTTAGTGAAAAATAAATCGACCTGATATTCAAAAGCCACAAAAAATAATAAAAAGCTAAAGTGGGTCCCACCCTCCCCTACTCATCTGTTTATCCTTACCATCCTTACCTAGATTTGTTCTTTTCTCTTTCTCTATGTATATTGCTGTGCAATTTTTCTAGTTTCCAATTGTAGCCGTCTTTTTTTTTTTCAATAAGTCAAATGACTACCCGAAAACAGCCCTTTCCATGGTAAAACGTATAAGTGCGATAGCTCGTGGAATACCTACCGTTTGCTTGTTGACCACCCTAGTGACCGCGCATCTGTAGACGTCCTTCAGATCGAGCTCGAGCACGGCTAGTTTCCCAGAGGCGTCCGTGTGGGGCCGGCAAGCTGGATCCGGGTAGTCCCTCAGACCCTGCACGTAAATGCTTTGGGTGTTCGCGTCCAGCGGTATCTCGACCCTCATCTGCTCCGGGGTGCATTGAACTTCGGGTGCCACTGCAACGACAAATTACTTCATTGAAGGTCCGTATAATATCTTGCTTTTCACTGGTATATTAGTGTTTTTCCGATAAATTTCAAGGAAGTAATTCTTATTATCAACCGCGAATATTAAAATATTAGAATACAAATATTTTTATAATTTTTTACGTAGATTTTTAAGTACAAAATAACTGTTTTTGGCTTACAAATGAGTATGGGCATAAATTTCAAGCAATACCCTAGATTCAGCAATTTGCCGAAAATTTAATGGCAACACTTCAACGGGCTAAGAAAAACTTAAAAAGAGCTCTAAATGATAACGGGGAAGTAGACTCTTACCGAGGCATTTTAATTGAGGGTGGTCAGACTCTATAATTGTACTCGGTGTTTCACTACTCGAAAGTTGTTTAAAATTGCGTGGTACGTCCTACTTTTGCACTGGACACCCAATTGGTGAGGCGAATGGGTGAAACATAAGCAATTAGAGAGATTTTGGCGCCACCCGTTTTTCAACGGACGTAGCTCCTCGAAAGGACGAGTATTAGCTACAAAAAAAAATTCTATGCCTTAAGTTACCCGCCTATTGTGTGAAAAAAAAATGGTAAACCAAACCTACGAGTGCGGTGTTATATAAAACACAAGCTTCCAAAGAAATGGCTATAAATAATCATTTCAGCTTTACTGTCTTGTGCGCTCAATCCTTACATAAGCCGGCCGCACAACAGGCATGTAATATACAAAAGTCGTAAATCAAAACAATCCACATTAGAAAAATATAAGTTACTCACAAATACCAAATTTTAGTGCCATTGCTCTGTTTTTCTCTGGTGGATGTTAATCAGCATGCCCGTCTAGAATGTTCTAAAATGGACGGTCCCTGTCGCTGGTTGTTATTTTGATAGGGCCATTTATTATGCCAAGAAATAAAACACCTAGGAGGAAGCAGAACCACCCTAAGTACCAAGTTACATCATGCCGCGCTAGAAGAGGCCACATGATAAGGAACAAAAGAAATTTGAAGGTAATGATTGGTATAACTAGCTTACAAGATTGTTAGTGGCCTTCCTCGCTAATTACCGGACTTGTTTAAATTCGTTTAAAACCTTCAAATATGGGTGCGAAACTCCGATAGCTCATATCCGCGTTAGGGTTTAAATCAGAAAGAGCCCGATACGAGCTTGTTCTTTTAATTTTGAAAATAACAAAAAACACAAAAAAAATTCATTGATCAAAGAAAAGCATCTAACCGATTTCATTTTTCCTAGAGATGACAGACGGTTGCGACTGTGGTCACTTCCGAGCGAATTGATTGAGATTTAATTTGCAATCAATTAAAATATTTTCGTGTATGGAATATGATTTTTAGTGGGGGAAAATGCCAAATCAAATGGATCAATTAAACATAGGTAAGTTGCTTTCCTTTACTTTACGCGAGAGTGCTTTGACTTTGAAAGTTCTAACCTTAATTACGCTTGTTTACGATGAAGCTGAGATAAGAGAATTGAATTGGGATTGCGATCCCTCACCTATCTTAAAAGTACAACTAGTGATGCCGGGTCAAGGTAACGCAACTAGCAATATAAATTTCCATTTAAGCATAGTTAATGTTAAATATTTTAACAATTTAAAATTAAGCAAAACCAGTTATTATTTATTAGGATGAACATCTAACTGAATTGAAGGTAAGTCGCTGCAAAAATTGTCTGTGTTTTATTGGCGCATGCCCCTTTTGTGCTTAGAAGGACGGGCAGTAAGGACGAGACGTGAGCTGGAATATAGAGAAGCTGAAACTAATTACTATCCCTTTCATATCTGTGTATACGCCTATTATTTAGTACCTGCGAAAATTATGTTAATTAGTACGGTGGATTAACCTTAGGTATTTAACTAAAAGCAATTTTCTGATTTGGGGTAAATAGAGCCTGTTACAAGTGATAAATCGAAAGGGCAGTGGCAAAAAGAAACTGCGAAACGATTTTAAAAAGATGAAAGTCTAGTCAAACATACTGAATCTATCGACTCGCTCAACGTAACATAAATATAAAAAAAAACAGTATATTATTATCTAAAATCTATAAATCATTTATTTTTCGAAAAGGGAAGGTAAGCATTTACATGAATATTACGGAAATGAACGACTGCATGAAACTGTCAACGTTGATAGCCAATTTGCCTCGCGGAGTTTATATCATATGCGATCACGTCCTCAGACACCGTAGTCCTATCACGAACACGACTTTTGCTCTTTCTGGTTACATCTTCTTGATCTAAATAGGAATCATAAGCCGCATCCTTATAATTAAAATGAAAAAGAACTATCGAATCCATTAATCTAATTTTAAAGTTAGTTGATAAAAGAAACTGGGAGAAATGTGTTTCAAACTCGTGTAGGTTTTTTGAATGGATTTAATTAAGTGGGACTTGAAATCACTATCGAAGTTTAGTCCCCAGTTCCGTAAGTGTGCAGAAAAATTTAAATGTCGATCTTTAAAAAGCATTCGAAAGTAAGGTTTAATTAGATCTTTAGATTGCCGAAATACGATAAAGTAAGATTTTTTAGCATTTATTTCGATTGATGCAATGCGGTGTATGATTCCCATTATCTACTAGTAATTTATCGAAAAAAAAAAGAAATACATATTTTGAGGTTCGTCAGCGAAGAATGAAGAAGAAGTTTGTAAACAACTACGCTGCTACGCGGTCCTGCGGTTTGTTTTGATGGTGATTAGTCAAGTGTGCCGTAAATACCGAGGCCGTCAGACAGGGGTGCGTCTTTGTTTGTTGTCTTTCAAGTGGGTCATGCAGGAGCAGAATCACCGAGTTGACAGTTTGCACGGTGTCCAACATCTTCTGAGCCAAACGCCAACCATATCCAGAAGTACTCTGGCAGTAAATGGACAAAATCATTTAAGAGTATCATTTTACTTTAAGTAGCCTATGTACTCCTGACTGAACAACTTGACCCAGACTAGCAAATAAATATAGAAATAAAGAAAAAGAAAGGATCAAGGCTGCTACGGTCAATCGTCAGGAGAAGTTTGAAATATGGTTGCATAATTCTTCCGAATATCATGGATAACGAAGCAAAATAAGGTCATTTTGAATAGAGCAAACCTCGTACTCTTAACAACTGTTAAGTGTCATAAACTGTCATATCTTCAACTTGAATGGGCCGGAATACGCAGTGTAGAACAACTGTTCAGAACAAAGACCAACTCGCCAGTCTAACTATCAAAGTTATCAGGGGGATCTGACAAGGCACAACAAGAGGAAGAAGAAGGAAAGTACCTGTATTATTAGGTAAAGCCTCTATATTAAATCAAAATTTATTGAGTACCTACACTATGTATCTCGCGGACCACAGAAGGTATCGTCTGCGGTGCGTGTAAATGGAAAACGATGTCAGTTGAAGCGAAAGTTTAAGTCGAGCACCGGCGGCGTGACGGGCACGTATAACGGACAAGGTTATACTTATGCTCTCGATAGAGAGACAATGTGTCGGCCCGACCCACTTCAAAAAGTAATAGTAGTTGTTTGGTTGTTCGGTAAATGGTGTCCGGGCGTTCCGTATCATTTGGCACGAACGACTATTCCAGGCAATACCTCAGCCGTTTACATGTACCTTCCGTGCGTATACAGGGTGCTTATCGATCTTGATTGGGACTACGCTGTTATTAATGATAGGCAATCTGACCAACTGTAGACAACGTCCTGTAAAATCTACTCGTCCTGGATTGTCCTGGATTTTTCAAATATATTTAATAAAAGAATTTGCAACCAATGAAATGAAAAAATTGGAAGATTGGCAAGCTAATGATATCAATGTTTGTGTCCGATGGCTTGAAGTTTTTGATAATTGTACAAAAAACCAACTGGGGTTTAAAAACATCTTTGATAGTTGAGTTTGCACTGTGCCTACCCGGTACTAATGCAGAGGAAGAAAGAGCGTTTTCAATTAAAAACAACTTTTAAAGTAGCGAAAAAAGTCAACTTCGTGGGAGCACTTTGAAATCAGCCATGATTACAAGGTGGAACGGGAATTTAAGTTGTTTTACAAACTCCTTTTAAAAAATAATATTACTCTAAAAGCAATAGGTAGTCAAAATAAGTATTTTATTAAACAATAGGAGGTTTTATGAAATCATTAGGCATATTTTCAATATATATGAATATCTCTAAAATACCTAATTACCCACCGATCTAGCGTGCGGGAAGCCTCACTTTACCACGTGAGTTGAGACATTTCTAGGATATTACCGTTTATTAAACACTCGCTCCGCTATTCATTTTGTTTAATTAATATCTCGAGGGCCCTGTGTGCGATTTAGTTGAAATAGGGCATGGTCGGTTGATTGGCTGCACAACACGTCGTAGAGGCACTGGAGCTTACAAAAGATCAGTAATCGAGAAGGCTTGATGCCCTTAGCTGCCGTTTAGAATTAGTGTTTATGGGCTATATTAACCGACCTCGCTTGATATTAAAGAATAGACATACACAGTTGGTATGGTGGCAAGAACGGACTCATTGGAATTAGGAGTAAAATCGTTTACTCTTCTCAATTTTTTTTTGGATAGAAACATGAACACCGAATTTTATATAAACTGTTACGTTGCTCTATTTTCAGAAACTTATTCGCTAGTCAATATCTATCGGATGTGATTATCCTGGGAACTTACAATAGACACACATCATCTGTCTGTCATCTGTTAAAACTTACGTTCAATTTCAATAAATTTGTTTGAAAACGTTAACGATTGTAACCCATATTTATCTCACCTTTAGACTTACTTTTACTGAGTGTGCAATTCCTATGTTACACAGTGTTAATTATGAATTTCACCGGCGTAAAAGCAGGCACCAATACAGAAAAGATTTTATTTAACATTTAATATTTTTTAATTATCCAGTCTTTACGATCGTCAACACAACCGTTTCTCCTTAGCGACGGGCGATGACGCGACCTTTGCGGCAAATCGAGTGACTCATTTTTTTTTCGCCGCCCTTATTTGGCCAG